CACACCGCGGCTCCGCTCAAGCCACAAGAGTAGCTTCGGTCAAACACAAACGACGACGACCCCTCGGGTAGCTCCCCGCGGCTGGCCTTGTGGCCGATGCCGGCGTGGGGGTGGATCATGTAACTGGACAGGCAGGTGGCGACAGCGGCCAGGCCTGCGGGTTCCCCCTCCCCCCTGCAGCAGGTTATCCCCGACCAGGGGGAGACGGAGGAGGAGACCCCATGATCATAAGCATCCCAGTAACATCCTCAGCATCGTCAGCCACATCGTGCTAATTAGCAGCACCACAACCATCGTCGTCACCGTCGCCCTGTCATCGCAGTCATCATCAACAACCAGAAGATCATCATCAACCTGGTCGTCGTCAGCATCATCGCCAGGGTCGTGGAACCCTTAGCCCCCCTCTCGCACCATCATGTTCATGATCAGCGTCGCCACCACCATTATCACCATCATCATCATCAGCAGCAGCAGCCGCAGCATCATTTTATAATAGTCGTCGTCGTCATCCTCATCATCAACAACAACATCAGCATCAGCAGCACCATCATCCTCATCATCAGCAGCAGCATCATCATCAACATCATCATCACCATCATCTCGTCGTAATCATCATCACAATCGCCATCATCGGCATCGCCATTGCCAGTATCTCTTTGAATCATCATCGTCATCATCATCAACATCCTCATCACCAATAACAGCGACATCAACACCATCGTCGTCGACAGATCAAGTTCTTCCCCAGGCACCTGCTCCTCTTCATCATCATGCCCACCATCAACATAGTCATCGTCATCACCATCGTCGCCGGTATCACCATCTCCATGATCATTATCATCGTCGTCAACGTCATAATCATAATCAGCATCATCATCGTCAAACGTCCCACCATGCTTACGTGCATCACCATCCTCCTCATCATCCTCAACATCGTCAACATCAACCTCCTCATCATCCTCATCACCCTCATCATCCTCCTCCTCATCATTCACATCAGCCGCATCATCATCCGCAATCTCATCGTTACTACCATCATCGATCAAGAGCAGGGGGGGGGGGCACGAGGGCGGCACCCTGGCAACACTCGTTGGCCCGCACCCTGCCCAGGGAGGGCCCCCCGCCGGCCCGAGGCGCAGCCCGAGGCTGCGCGAGCCGCGCGGCCGGCGGGGCCTGCGCGCCCCGAGCCGCGCGCAGAAGCGGGCCGCGGACGACATCGTGCCCGGGCCTGCCGGCGGAGTCGGTCGCTCGCCGTCAGGGTCCCCGCAGGTCGGGAGGCCCTGAGGGGTCTCGTCGCAGGTGGGAGTCTGCTCGCCGACGTGGTGGTCGGGTCCCCCTCGCCGCCCGCGGCCCTCGTGCTGCTGCTCGTGCTGCACACCCGTCGTGTTCGTGTCCCTGCGACGCGGTGCACGTCGATGTGCAAGACGCACTTGTAGATGTACTAGACAGACGCGCGCTGCACCCCCGCACCGAGCTCATGGCATCATGGGTGCTGCTTAGAGACGCGGTGCTCGTCGCATTACTCGCCTCGAGGGTTCATACTTAACGTCAGGTTGCCACTCTCCGTCGTACTGCTGGTTCCTGAGGCGCTGCTCCGAGACATGTTGATCGCCACGAGGATGGAGGACCCTCACGGGTTCGCCGTTTCGGCCACGATCACTCCGCAGCCACCGGGCGAATCTCGCTGCCCGGGCACTTCAGGCTAAGGTCATCACGATCGGTCCACATAGCTAAAATGATGTTGCTCCCATCGTACTGAAGGACCACAGTTCACAAATAAGTTCGAGCAGCTGGAAAAGTATCGAAAGAGTGTCGAAACAGTGTCGAAACAGTGTCGGACGAGTGTCTCCCAGGGCCCGAGGCGTGAACGCCCTCGAATTTCGGAAACTTTTTTCTGGTGCTCGAAATTCTGCCTGGTGGTCAAGGCTAAAGTAGGTTTGGAACATCATAAGGCTGGAAACTTGAATGGCGTGGTCCATGGCTTGATTGCTCCTTGACCATCTCTGTACTCCCTTTGCTTTAGTTAATCGCACTCGTTGGCCGACGTGTATCGCTCGCCGCCCAGCCCCACCCACCCGCGCCCCGTCCTACTGTTCAGCGTTGTCACACGCTGTTCCCCAACAGACACACTTCGGCTCGCCATAAAGTCCACTTCGTCTGACGTGCCCTCACACCCACTGCCGTTCGATAGCTCCATCGTTGCCACCCTCACTGCCATCGCCGTCATCACCGCCCGTGCCGCCATTCCCCTCCTCCCCCGCCCAGTGTTCGCCCCCCTCCTCGCTCACGGGGGGACTCCCTCGCCCCCCCGGCCCCCGGAGCGGCCCACGAAGGAGTGGAAGGCAGCCACGGTCTGCGGCAGCGCCATGGGGTCCACCGCCTGGCCGGCAGCGAGCACGGCGGACGCCGAGGCCGCGCCGGCCCACGGCAGGCGGGCCGCAGCGGCGGCAGGCCCAGAGACGGCGGGCGGGAGCAGCGGCGAGCACCGCGGCGGCGAGCGAGCGGCAACGGCGGCAGCACGGGCAGCACGGGCTGCGGCAGGCACCCCCCTGCCCTGCGGACGCCCAGGCTCTGCACTCCGCCCGGCGCGCTCGACTCTCGAAGGGCGGCCCCTCCGGGGCGGGCACCGGAGGCGCCAGGACTGTACCGCAGAAGCGCGCGCGCAGCCAGCCAGCACTGCGTGACCACGGCGAGAAAGGCTGGCTCAGAAAGGCTCATTTCGACGGCTGCTGGGGCGCCTCGGGCCGAGCTGTGGGGCCTCCGGCCGCGCTGGGGGGCCGCAGGTCTAGCGAAACCGCCCTTGCCCAACGAACCCTTCTGGCAGCCTCCGACCGTTGTGCGGCCCGCGGGGCCTGGCGGGAGCACGGGCCAGGCTCGAGTGGCCCACGCACTCCGCCGGCGTGCCGGCGCTGCCTTCGCCGGGCCGGCCGCGGGTCGTGCCAGCGCTGGGGAGCTGGCCTGCAGACGTCTGGCGCGGCTCAGAATTCGTGGGCTGTGCGGGGGCAGGACGTGACCGTACACGCGCGAGGATGGTCTCGCCATCCACTGCTGAGCGCAAGAACTGAGCAGGGACCGGCCGTCCCAGCATTGCTGTAGGCCTACCACGACATGTTCTTAGAACCCAAAAATGTTCGAATAACAAAGGCAATGTTCTTAGAACGTAAACCCGATGTGTCAAACCAATACAGTCCCAGCCAGGCATGTTCTAAGAGCAGTTCGTTGGAACCGCCAAAGGTTCTTAGAATATTCTTTGGTAGGCCTACAGGTGAGCCAGGACGCTTCGCCACTGCTTGAACGAAGGCGAACGCGGCTGACCTAGCAGCCCCTGCCCTCAACCTGCGGCGCCAGCAGGGGGGTGCGCGAGCGGGTCGGCCTTCCCAGACGACCTGCCGCCTTCCAAGACGCCTAGCTCGGAGCCGTCCGACCCCTTCTCTAGAGGACTCTCGAGTGGGGTCCGTAGAAGAAAAACCACATGAACATAAACCTTTGGCGCTCTGCGCGGATTTATTAGACCCCCCTCCCTGGCGTGCGGAGCGCGCCAGGGGCGGCGCCGGAGGCGCCGCCAGGGGGGGCCCCAGCGCGGATCCAAGAAAGCCGCGCGGGGCGCCAAAAGTTTATCTTTATGTGTTTCTTTCTTCGGGTCCGAACAGATTGGGGTCGAAGGATCGCGCCGCGTCGCCGATGCATCACCAATGCATCGGCGATGCGTCGGCGATGCCGGCGTGGACAACATCGGGCTCCACATCGAGCCGCACCGCCGATGCGCCGGCGCGATCCTCCGACCACATCTGCTCGGACCCCATCTAGGAGGCCTAGATTCTCGGAATGCCACCCGTCTTCTGCAAGGGCCGCCACCCTCGCCTAACCGCTTCTCTCCGCGCCGCCATATTCGCCGCTCCTGCCACTGCGCACCCGGATCCCAGACTCGCCATCGCTCGGACGTCCATTCCCCGTGCATTTGCCGACTTCGTGCGTGTATTGTTTGCAATAGGCTCAAAGATACTCCTCGATGGTCTTCGCCGAGAAAAATGCACAGCTCCGAGCGATGCCAAGCAAATCTCTGGTGTCGTGATGATCTCCTGGGAGAGCGCAGCCTCTGGACCTCTCGGCCCCCTCCAGGGGGCGGTTCGGCGTCCCGGATCACTCCGTCCACGGCCCTGGGCAGCCAACCTCGAACTCATCCCGACCCCTAATTACGACTGCCAAGCCCAAGGCGATAGCAATCTTGCGGATGCGCCCTGAAGAAAACTGGCAATCCTAAAGATCGGCATCCGGATGAGGTGATGCCAATCTTAGGGATCGGAATCTGTTCCAAGCTGGTGACCGGGGCCCGAAGATAACCCCCAGAATGACAAACCCCCCAGCCCGAGGTTTGCTTGGATTCGTCAGCAGTCGGAGGGCCTCAACTGCACACCTGCACCGACTCTGGCCAGGCACAGCCTGGGCCAAGGAGCCGTGCACATCCCTTCCTGGCCAGGCCAGGAGAGCAGATACACCGATCCTTGGTCGGGGGTGAGCCAACATGGATTGGCGATCCGTCGATTTGGCGCGCGGTCGCCAAATCCATGGATCGGGGGACGTGCCCTCCCCAAAATGCGGCCGGTGCCGCCTCGCTCGGCGGCGAAAATCTGCGCAGTCCCCCGGATCCATGTCTTGGCGGCGAGCGCGGGGTGGAAGTGAGAAGGGGTGTGCCTTCGCAGAAGGCTCGGAAGTCCCCCAGCCTGCCGAGGAGTCTACCGAGGGCTTCTGAGAAGTCCCGCCGCCTTCTGAGAGGGCATCAGCCTTCTCACTTCAGAGGCCTCCTAGATGGGGTCGGAGTAGATGGCGTCGGAGGACCGCACCGCATCGCCGATACATCGGCGATACATCGCCGATGCATCGGCGATGCATCGGCGACTCCAGCGTGTAGAAAATCGGGCTCCACATCGAGCCGCATCGCCGATGCATCGACGATGCGGCGCGATCCTCCGACCCCATCCACGCGGACCCCATCCAGGAGGCCTAGACACTTCCCCCCCTCGCTCGCCGCCGAATCTCTGCGATCGCCTGGCCTGGGCCCAGGAGCAGCCCGGCCAGCGGCCGCGCAGGCCGGCTCCCGGCCCGCGGGCGAGCGGTCCGCGGCCGGAGCTGAGGAGGAGGAGGAGGAGGAGGAGGAGGAGGAGGAGGAGGAGGAGGAGGAGGAGGAGGAGGAGGAGGAGGAGGAGGAGAGGAGGAGGAGGAGGAGGAGGAGGAGGAGGAGGAGGAGGAGGAGGAGGAGGAGGAGGAGGAGGAGGAGGAGGAGGGGGAGAGGGAGGAGGAGGAGGAGGAGGAGGAGGAGGAGGAGGAGGAGGAGGAGGAGGAGGAGGAGGAGGAGGAGGAGGAGGAGGAGGAGGAGGGGGAGGGGTGCCTTCCCGATGGCGCCGCCGACGATGCCTCCGCCGCCGATGAGCGCCACCGCGGGCAGCAGCTCGGAGCTCGGCACGCCTGCAGCCGGACGCGGCAGCACAAGGTCCAGGGGCACAACCGCGCGCCACTGTCCCCGCCTATTCTTTCCATTGCGTCTCCCTCCCGCACTCCCTCGCCCCGACCACGGGGCAGCGCGCAGCGCTGTGTCAGAGAGAGAGACAGCGAAAGGACGAACAGTCCGCCGACCACTTGGGGTCCACGGCGTGTGGGCCTGCTGCCCCGCCACAAACCCATCCCCGGGGGGGTCCGTCCGGCCGGTTCGGACGAGGGGGGTCCCAGCGAAACGTGCCCGCGGCCCCGGCGGCCCCGGCGGCCCCAGAGATGCTCATGGACGGCGGCCGACGGATTCGAAATGGCTCTCCCGGGTCCCTAGACGATTCCAGATGGCACTCAGTCGCCCTGTGCTGGCTTCAAAACAGCCCACGAAGCCTCCAAGATCCGATCCCTTCAAGAGACCCTCCACGAGGGCCCCAATACTGGGCAGCATTCCATCCGGAAAACCGACATTTTTGTTTGGAGGCCGTGTGACCAGCGACCCGTGACGGGCCAAGAGGCCTTCAGGGGGCCCACGACGGCTCCAGGTGGCCCCGGGACGGTCCAAAGGGTGCCCAAGACAGCCCCAGAGGAAGCCGAGACGGGCTCAAGGCAAACCAAGGTGGCCCCATGACAGCCCAAAACGAGCCCCACCCAGCCCAAGATGGCACCAATGCTGCCCGCAAGTCGCCGCAGACGGCCCAGGAGGGCCCCGGTAGACGCCCCAAGCTTGCCCCCGAAGGACTCCCCCCCCCCAGCAGGCCTTCCGTTTGGACGCCTCACGCTTCGGCACACTGCGTCAGAGGCATGGACCTTCGACCCGAGACAGTCCAAGAGGCGTCGAAGATCGCCACACGAGGGCTCCCGGAGGATACGCCCAAGACAACCCACCCAGACCAAAATGGCCTTCATGCGGCCCAGAAGGTTCCGGCGACGGTCCAAGAGGGCCCCGGAAGGGCCCCCTGCACGATCATGGATCGCACCCAGTCGCCCCGAGTTTACTTCAGCCCCCGCCTACAACGACCTCCGCCCATCCTCTGCGGTTCCGCTTGCTCGCTTGCCCATGGCAGTCGCCGTGGCACCAGCAAGACGAGCCCAACTCTTGTGCTCGGGCCCCTCTCTGGCACAACCTTTCTGCAACTCCCCGCGCACGCCTGCGCGCGGCAGTCCCCGCGGCACCGGTAAGAGGAGCCCAGACCTTGCGTTCGGGCCCCTCGCTGGCACAATCACCGTCGCCCAAACGCGCGCCCGCTCACCCTCACAGCGGACCTCTGGCATAGCGGCGCGGCCGAAGGGACACGGCCCAAGAAGGCCGTCTCAGGCTCCGTGCTGGCACCAGGATGGTTTCCTCGGGACCCCCGCGAGGACCCCGACAAGCGAACTGTACCTCCTTCCCCAGGAGACCCTGCGGCACAAAGCCAACATTTAACCACTGCCTAAAGAAACCGGTCGTTTTCGCCACACTCGTTCAGGACGCCGTGCCCGGCGACCCGCGACGAGCGACGAGGCCTCCAGGAGGACCCCCGACGCCGCCCAAGAAGGCCCGCAAGTCGCCACGGACGGCCCAGGAGAGCCCCTGCAGGCTCCGCATTGGCTCTAAGAGTGTGCCCTCAGACCCGCGCGAGGGCCCCAACATGCGAACACGACCTCGTTGCCTACAGAAGCATGCGTCACGAAGCCGACAGTTGGCCACTCCTCCAGAGACCTCCCCAACAACACCTCCAAGTAACCACGCACCTCGCACAGGCCGGACCCACGGATGACCAAATTCATGGGGTCGGCGGATGTGGCGTCAGCCTGTAGAATCCACAGCCTGAAGTGACGTGTTGCCGGAGGCAGGTCCGCGGATACTGTCATGTAACATATCCTATGTATCCAATCATTCATAAGTTGTACTTGCTGTAGTATGTTTCATCATCATGTCTCCAACCCTAACCCCCCCAGGGGCCACGCCACTTTTGCCGACCAGGAGCTCCCCCCCCCTTCTGGAGCCCAAGACCGTACGAAAACCGATGGGAAATCAACGATTTGGGCCCCTTGGGGGTCTTGGGGGCCTATGCGTGCGTCAAGACGGCTCAAAATGGCCTCACGACGGGCCAAGACGACCCCAAGAGGATCCAAGATGGCCCCAAGAGGGCCCAGAAAGCCCCCAAGAAGGCCCCAGAGGACCCCAAGAGGACCCCAAGAGGACCCCCACGAGCGACTGCAAAGGCCAAAATCACGGTTGTTCCTTCGGTGTTTGAAACATTTTAGCGTTCCCTTCTGTTTCTATCCTCAGAGGTCCATGACGACCCACGCAGCCTCCAAAATGGTCCCAGGACAGCCTGGACAGGACAGGACAGGACAGGAGCGCGCTGAGTCCGCCGGACGGCCGGCGGGCCCCCCAGGAGCAGCGCGGGTGGGCCGGAGCCCGGTTATTGCATGTGGTGGAGGAAGGCGTCTTCCCAGCTGTCCCAGAATTTCTGGTCACAAGCATAATCTAACCAATGTTTGGTGATACTCCCAATGGCAATTTGTATAAACTGTGATATGTCGTTGCACCACCGCTTGCGTTGTCGTCCATGTCTGCGCTGTGCTATTCGATTGTCGTGGACCTCCGGCTCCCACGCTGCCGCAAGCCTTGTCCATCTAAGGTTCGAGTGTGTTGCCACTCGCTTTGCCCACCGCCATTTTCGTCTGTAGTATACTGTTGTCCACTCGTCCACGTGAGAGCGGGCAGCGAGATCTGTAGCCGCATGTGTGGCTCTGCGAATGAACTCCTCCCATGGCCCCAAGAGAGCACCAAGGCGGCCCCGAGAGGCCCCCAAGACGGACCCCGAAGGGGCCAGATGGCGCAAGAGGCCCCAAACCCAAGAGGCCCCTAGGAGGCAATCAAGAGGCCCCCAGGGACCCCCCAGAGGCTCCCCAAAGGCCCCTACAAGGCCCCCCAAAAGTCCCCTAACGGCCCAAAGACACCACCAAGAGGCCAGCGCAATTGTAAACTGCCGGCGCACTGCTGCAATGCTCATCGGGGTCAGAAGTTGGCGCTGCCTTGCGCTGACTTTTCGTCGGCGGCGCCGCAAAGCTCAAACGCGTGCACAGGGAAACCGGGGCGCGGGAGCAACTTACTCGCCGGAGCGTGCCCCCAAGACGGCTCCAGATGGCCCCAAGAGACGAGCCGCGCCCAGCCTGACACGTTCACCGGGCCCCTCCGTCTGCCCTCCGCGGGCGCGCCTCGTGACGTGACCAGCCCGCTCCCCCCTCCCCCTGGTAACGCCCGCATCTCCAGGCAACCAACAATCTGTCCCCAATAAGCCCCCCAGAGGCCCCAGTACGCCCCCGAGACGCCCCCAGGAAGCTTCCGAAAAACTCTGAGGGAGTCCCAAATCCCCGTGCTCCCCGCAGTCCGGACGTGCACGCCGCGAAGCGAGAGGAATCCACGCCCGGAGGTGATGTGCTGAGCGGCAGCGCTTTTCGACGAACGCCTGCATGCAACGAATCCAATGCATCCAGTGATCACGCAATTGCTACATATTATGTTGTATTACGTTGGTACCCAAGGCCACGCCACATCCACCATACCAAAGATGGCGGCCCCCTGCTGGGCTTCAGAATCTTTCAAAAACCATTGGAAACATGTTGGCTCTGCCTCTTCGGCCTCTTGGGGGTCCGAGAGGGCCTCAAGACGGCTCACGATGGCTTCAAGACGGCCCAAGATAGCCCCAAGACATCACAAGATGGCCCAAGAGGGCCACAGAGGCCCCCAAGGCAGCCCCTGAGGGCCCCTGCAAGACCCCCCAAGAGCGCCTCCCAAGCCGAAACACATTGATTTTCCTATGGCTTTTGAAAGATGTTCGCGTACTCCCTTTTTTCGGCCCTCGGAAGCCCATGACGGCTCAAGCAGCTTCCAAGACGGCCCGAAAACAGCCCAAAGGCCTCAAAAAAAAGCCCAAGACGGCCCAAGAGGGCCGCAAGACAGGCCAAAGAGGCCCCTAAAACGGTCCAAGAGGCCCCCAAGACGGCCCAAGAGTACCCCAAGAGAGCCCTAAGGCGGCCGCGAGAGGCCCAAAGGATGGCCTCCGAGGGGGGCCCAAACGGCGCAAGAGCGCCCCAAGACGAATACGGCCCCAGGAGGCCCAAGAGGCCCCAAGGAAGCTCCTCAGAGGCCCCCATAAGCTCCCAAGAGGCCCCAAGAAGCCCACAAGAGGCGCCCAAGAGGCCCCAAAGAGGCTACCACCAGGCCCCGCAACGACTGAACTGCACGTGCTCTGGACGTGCACCCCGCGAAGCGAGGGGAATCATAATACCCGCACTGGTACACCCCACGGAGAAGTCCGAAACGAAAACCCGAGCATCGCTGCTCTCCAGTGAGGACCACTGGCCACCCCCGGCCCAGCCGGCCAGCCTGGAAGCATCGAAGGGGCTGCGCAGGGTCTCCCAGCAGGGTTCAACGCTGTCAATCTCGTGGCCTGTTCTGTTGCGTACAGTCGGGGCGTTGACCTAAGGAACCCTACATAAGGAACGAGGCCCCTTCTTCCCATCAGATAAACTTCCACTTCCCAGGGAGAACCTAAGGAAAACAAAGGGCAAACTGTAAAACAATCAAGGAACACCGAGCCCCTCCCCAACGAGAAGGGCTCCTTCTTCAGCGCCCCGACTGTATGTCCACGAGCCTCTCCGGCAGTGGCCGTCAGGGCAGGGGCCACGGGCCTCGGCCCGCTGATTTTTGCGTGCACGAGCCCCACGCGCGGTAGCGACAGTGGACAGCCGCGGCCGCCAGGACACCACTCTTAACCAGCCTCGAACGCATCCCTATCCCTAAGATGGGCGAGCAAAAAGCGAGGACAATCTTAGGGACGGGCCCTCAAAAACTGAGGGAATCCTTAAGATCGGCATCGAGGTGAGGTGATGTCAAACATAGGGATAGGGATATGTTTCAGGCTGGTAAACTCTCAAAACGCAGGCCACCGACTCCGCTCCGTCGACCACGTGCGCCTTCAACAGGCCACGCCGCGAAGCCCGTTGGGCCACAGAGATCGCCGACTCGGCGCGCCCCGCCCGCTCCGCTTGCGGGGCGCCAGCCCGCGATACCCAGCCGCAGGGCCACGGGCCGCAGGCTCCGCTGGAGCAGCTGGCTCCCTCGTCATGAGACTGCTGGCCAAAGGTTGCACCCGCCCCTCAGCGTGCCGTGGGCCATGGGCCGCCGAGTCCGCTCGACTGGCCCTCCATCCTTCAGAAGCCGCGCCGGCACCTGCACAACCCAAGCGTAGGGGGGCACGAGGTGGGGCACGATTCGACGACTCGCGAGGGCCAAGGCGGTGGCGAAGCCAGGCCGCGGTCCATAACACCCACATTTACACGTACCTTCAAGCACATATGCATATGTGTATATATACATATGTATATATATATATGTCTGTGTGTACAGATGTATATAGACACTACACATGCACACTTCTGCTTGCTACACGTACGTAAAAAGTGGCCCTGGGCAAAGGTGGCCGTTGATGCGCGGCTTGAGGAGGGCCCGCGGGGGCCAACCTCGAGCACGCGAGCCGCTGCTGCCGCATCCCATCAGCGATCGGTGGGACGTGCCTCGGAGGATCCTCACCGCCGGGAGACCACTGCTGGATTCCGCTGGCCTGCTTCGGGCCCCCCCAGGGACCGCCGCGAAAGCGCACTCTGTCGGGCGCCACCGCGGTGGAGGTCTGGCACAGCGCGACCGCTGCGCGATGCTGGCTGACCGAGTCTGGAATGACTTGGCCTCTTCGGGCCCCCCCCCCGCGGGCGCTCCTCGGGGAGCCTCTAAGTAAAGAATTCAACCGAGGAGGAACGAATGTGACGATCCTTACCTTACCAGCCTCGAACGTATCCCTATCCCTAAGATTGACACGCCAAAAGGCGATGACAATCTTAGGGATTCGCCCTCCAAAAAACAGGGAATCCCTAAGATTGGCATCGTGATGAGGAGGTGCCCAGCATAGGGATAGGGATATGTTCCAGGCTGGTAATTACCGCACCTTCTCGTGATTTACGGCTGTCGACTCGGGACTGGTCCTGAGCGGAAGACGTACCGCCCGATCGTCGTGGGCATCCACGGACGACAGACCCGAGTTGTAGGATGCGCTGCGTGTGTGCGGCGCGGTGGATGGCGAATGAGACCCCCAACACAGATGCACTCAGGTGCGCTGCGTGAGCCGACGCGGGGTTGAGCGCCATCGAACAAAAAGTTCGGCCCGACCAGCGCTGCCTCCGACGCAGGGCCACTACTACATCCAGCCGATCCTGCCGGGGAAGACAAAACAAAACAGCCAAGCTGCGCATCAGCCCAGCGCGGTCGGGCGAGCCGCGCTCACGACAAAGCTTCAATCACACGCAGCCACGCACGTAAGCCGGCAAGGCGTCTGGCACTGCGTGGGGCGCACCCAGCACACTCGTTAAACGAGATCGATGAAGTAGGCCTACCACGCGTATCGCGCAACCAGTGCAAGTCCAAGAACGTCTTTATGACAAGAAAGCTGCATGCGGAGAGGGTTCCAAGCGTGGAGAAGACGACGAGGAACTCCACGTAGACAACTGACGAAGGAAGCAGCCAGCGACTGGCGACAAGAGCAATCAGCGGAGGCAGAAAGCATAGATTATGCCACACAAACCCGAATCGGGGCACACTAAACGCAACGTGCGCTCGCGATTCGGTGCCGAATCGTACGGAATCGCATGGGAATGCCGACAGAGGCCACCCCGAGAGCCACCGAACAACACAAGCCCAACAGTCACACACACAATTCTCCCCGACGCGGTGGTGAAGCAACCTCCCAAACGGCAAAGACGGACCACGTTCGCAACTCCTCACACACACACACACTATTTGCGTCGGCGGCTAGGCAGAGGGACTGCTCTGGCGATGTACTCCTGACACGCACACGCACATGTGCTGTTCCTCCTCCGGCGGGGTGACAGCACTATAGCGAATGCTCGAACGTGACGCGAGCAACCATGTTGAATTGCACTGAGCGTTCTGGAAGAGCAAGCGGACTCCCGCAAACCGGCGTGCGCGAAATGAAATTGCACCCAACATGTGGATGATAGGCAAGCGGTGAACGCGTCAGCCAGAGTGCAGGAGGACTGCTCTGAGACCGAGTGTGGAAGAGACGTGCCCGCAGTGGAAAGCACATGTGCAGGCGGCAAAAAAAGGCTGGCTGTGTGAGTGGCAGCGCCAGGGGTCGGGAAGCACGAAGCTGGAAGCTAAAAGTAGAGAGCCCTCGGTGTGACTGGTGTGGCGTCGTCAACGCGTCGTCGCCGCACCAGTCATACACAAACACATACACACATAAGTACACACAACACCAACATAACCCCCCCAAGAAAAAAATCATGTGACCGTAGAGTACGCTACATGCACGACATCGCTCAGATGGCGAGACCCCGCCAGCAAAGACCTTTGGGAGGGTACCCTGCCAGGGCAATACCCCCACTGTGCACCGATGGATGGCCCGAAACTCGGGGGCGGCCAAGAGAGGGGCGTCCAAGAGGGGGAGGCGCAACTCATGGCCGGCGGCATGTGCGCGTCCCAGGGGGGGGCCGGGGACGTATTGAAATAAGAGAGGCGCCATGAAATTTGGGGAGATATCATGGCCCCCGCCATGGCATCCCTCCCCACTAGTCATCACCCCCCTCTTGGCCCCCCCCCGAAATACCCCCACTATGCACCGATGGATGGCCCGAGTCGTGCCCCGGCCGCGAGGCGGCGGCGGCCGTGCAGGGTCATCGCCATGGCGCCGGTCACGCCGCTGATGCCCATCGCGCAGCCCAACTGCGCCGTCCTTAGGCACGGCCGGGCGCTGCGGCCGAGGCCCCCAAGAGAAGGCAATCAAGGCTTTGCGATCGTGCCCACCGATCCCTGGCCGAGGGGAGCGCACTGGGAACGTGGGGCCGCTAGAGCCCCCCTCCAGCGCACCACCCCCGAAACCAGAAACTGCCCCAGCCAAAAGTCGAGGGAGCACATCAGAGCCAAGAGGAAAAGAGGCGCGCCCAGGAGCGGGAGGTCGGCCAAGGAAAAGGATCGTGGCCGTCGGGAGGAGGAGGAGGAGGAGGAGGAGGAGGAGGAGGAGGAGGAGGAGGAGGAGATGGAGGAGGAGGAGGAGGAGGAGGAGGAGGAGGAGGAGATGGAGGAGGAGGAGGAGGAGGAGGAGGAGGAGGAAACGAGGCGCGCCCAGGAGCGGGAGGTCGGCCAAGGAAGAGCGTGCACTCTCTTGGGTGTGCCTTTTGGGATTCCTGAGGGGGACGCACGGTCGTGTGCGCCGCACTCTGGTGGCAAGGGATCGTGGCCGTCGGGAGGAGGAGGAGGAGGAGGAGGAGGAGGAGGAGGAGGAGGAGATGGAGGAGGAGGAGGAGGAGGAGGAGGAGGAGGAGGAGGAGGGAGGAGGAGGAGGCGGAGGAGGAGGAGGAGGAGATGGAGGAGGAGGAGGAGAGGAGGAGGAGGATGGGAGGAGGAGGAGGAGGGAGGAGGAGGAGGGAGGAGGAGGAACAACTGTGGCCAACGCTCAGGCGACAGCACGGTTCCCGAGGAAGTCTCTGGCCGAACGGCTGCTGGACTGGGCGGTCCTCGGCTCTCCGTCCCCCGTGGGACTCCTGTTGTGATCCTCTCCCATCTCTATGAGAAAGGCCGCAAGCGAAGCGATAGCAGGGGAAAGCGATGACGCTGGACTTTGCAGCAAGGGGAGATCTCGCAGGCACTCACTTCTCCAGAAATGAAGGTACAGGCATGCATGGGGTCTCCTCCCCTTCTCAAGTTGCAGAATGAATGAAAAGAGAAGGGTTGAGGACTGCGGAGTGACTATGGAAGGGTGATGAGTGAAGAACAACCCAATAACGACCAGCGAAAGAGTCAAGAGTGGGAGTCGGCAGAAAACATACGCCACTCATGTGTACGGACGTCCTATAAAATATAAGCCCACGAACTCGTGCGCAAGAGAAGCCGTGTCAGAACAGGCCCCAGGCCAAATGGCAGCGGTGCACTGGTGCGAAACGCATGAGCTGCAAGGGGGCGCTCATGACAATCATGTCCGCTCACAGAGGGGAAGCAAAGCACACATAATGGCATTCAGCACGGGTCGCACTCTGGAGAATCATCCCGACTCTGCAGTCGACGACGGGCACGCGCATTACCTCTGCACGACGCGCGCACCTTGTAGACCCAGCACCCAAGAGGCACGCCCCAACGCGAAAACCAATCACCGAAAGCACGTGGATGCCCTTCGAGATTGGCAAGTTCTCTTGCCCCAAGCACTGGAGGCTTATTCTATGATTTGTGCCAAGCTGCACTGCAATGTGGAATTTCGTGGGCCACTTGCTGGTGCGTCACCGGCCACAACTCTGGAGGCCTTGACATGGGCGCCAACACCAACAAAGGGGGGGCGCCTTGATGCTGGGAAGATGATCCCAGATCTCGGTGTTGCTGGTAATATTTCGGTCGCCTTGGAAGCCAGAACATTACCACCATCACCGAGATCGGGACCTTCTTCCCTCGGTGGAGGCACACCGCCGATGTTGGTGCTGGTGTGAACCTCTCGGCCTGCGACAACTCGGTGTGGGTCCGCTGCCGGCCCCGCTTTGTCCGTCTGCCTTGGCATGCTCGGAGCCTGTTTGGCCGCAGACTGGTGCGCCCCACTGGCCGCGGCGCGGCCTGCGTGCGCCACTGGGCCCCCCGGCTTCATGAGCGGCCCCACGTTCTTCAGAGTGCTTCCGCGCGAGTGCCACGTGCTGCTGGTTCTTGTGTTGCACAGTCAGAAACATGATTAAGAAAGTTATCGATTCAGGAAGCTGGGCCAGATTTTGAGAGAAGTTTCGTAAGGAAACGCCGGGCCAGCTTTTTGAGCCAGGAACGTACATCATTCATTTCTAGCTCCGCTGCCAATCCCCTTAAGAGACTGAGCCAGCTCTCTGGCAGGTTGGTCAAGAAACGCTGGGCCAACTTTTCGGGGGGGGGGTCTTAATCATAAGCGGGACCGTAATCTGTGTTTGCGCCCACGTGCTGCCGCATGCCCCCACAGGCAGCTTCGATGTGCCGCCGCTCTCTTCCACGTGCTTCGACCTGCTGCCAGGACGCTCCGGTGTCCGCCCGCTTGACCGCTGCACCGAGGCACTCCTTGGGGCGCTGGCACTGTGTGCACAAACACTCCAAAACATGCCATCGGAGCTTCGAGAATTTCGAACAGACGCTCCCCAACTTCCCCACGCGCGACCGACGTCAACAGTTGCAACGCATCCCAAAGACTGGCAGAGTTGGCAATACCAGCCGTGTTCCACATGGGTGATGTATCCCATCTTCTTACACTGCTTGACGACCGCCTTCAGTAAAGTTTGCCCGTCGTCGGGCGAGCTGGGGCTGTAGGAGAGGAGTAGAGGATATCGGGCGACGGTGTGGCCAGGGGGGGAGTGTTGGGAGGCGGCGTCGGCTAGCGTCAACGACTTCGGGCCCCTGATCCAGCCAGAACCCCCTGGAGACCTCTTCAACCAACAAAAAAACCTGGCGTCCTCCTCAACACGGAGAGCGCGGAACAGCCCCCACTACCATGCACGGTGGGGAGCAGCCGAAAGTGGTAATTCGCTGAGCAAGCGGGCCAAAGGCGTGCCAGAATCCCCCGCACGAGACTCTCAACAATTGCGCATTATCTGACTCGCGCGCGCGAGGCGGCTCCCTCGGGGGTCCCTTGGGGCGGAATTGCCCTGGCCAGGTCCTGATCACGACCAGCGCGGGATGCACGACCTCCCATGCGCAGCCCGAAAAGCCGCCCGGGCGGCTGCCAGAAATACCGACGGCACCGCCGGGACACATCCAGAGCCACCAGCGGCGAACATGCCCGCAGCCGAGCCCTCGCGGCCTGGATCCCAGGAGCGGAGGGGTCGCGGCACGGGGGGCGCCGCCGCCCAACGCTGTGGCATGGGAGGCCATCCGGCCTGCGAAAAAGCTGCGCAAAGAGGTGTCGCTTGACGAAGTGGCGCTCGCTCAGGCCTAACGTCTGCTAGCCCTCGCACGCACGCTTTTGAATCTACTCGTCTACACAGGTTTTCGGCCTAGCTGGATCATAACAAAATGTGCGTTCCGCCCAAGGTAGAACTGCGCCTTCCCAAACGGCTCAGGTGGCCACGGAGCCTCCCCAAGCATGGCCCCAAGAGGGCCGAATGTGTCAAGCATACGTTTTGTGCGTTGAGTTGCTCTCTCGCCAGTCCGATTCCGGTGGGCCTCTAAGGCTTCCAGATGGCTCCGCGAGATGCCGAGGCTAGCCCCAAGAATAGCCCAAAGGGACTCCAAGACGGCTCCGAAGTACACAAGCATGCGCCACCGGAGCGCCCCAAGAGGGCTTCAAGAGGGCCTCAACGGGGCACTAGAGCGGCCCAAGAGCGGGGATCAATGGGAGGGAAGCCCCAAGATGGCCCCAAAATGCACCCAAGATCGCCCCAGGGTTGCCCAAGATTGTCCAAGACAGCCCGAAGAAGCCATGATCTTTCTGTTTTCCGTGAGATAGAAGAGAGACAGAGAGAGAGAGAGAGAAAGAGAGAGAGGCTGAATGGTTTGGGCCGTCAAAACGGGCTTGTGGGGCCTCAAGATGGCCCCCAAATTAACCCAAGACAGCCCCAAGAGGACTCCAAGACGGCTCCGTAGATGCCGAAGAACCCTAGGGGCCTTAAGGAATCATGATGGCCCCAACAGAGCTCATGAGCGTCCCAGTTTCGTTTCCAGCGTGGGTCTGTTATTATAGAGAGGGTCATGAAACAAACGTTCAAACACATATTATGCCTATCTGTACATATTCGGTCTGGCAAATCGAGGCGGCATCAACGCGACGCCAAGTGGCGTCGTGGACTCGAACCTTTGGCCTGGAAGTACGAAGCGCACGACTACCCAGATCATAAAGTTCTGCAACCGGTCACTGCGTTCTGGGGGGGTGCACGGACACGCAGAACACTGTTCAGCAAATCGTGAGCTGGCGCCCGCCTCGAACTCATGCCCCACCCCCCGCCGCCTCCCAATATCCCTTCGCTTTGGCCCCAGTCTCCTCATGCCCCTCTGATTACCCCCGGTCCTCACCATGCCCCTCATCCACATTGTCATCCCCCATGTGCCAATTCATGTCGTTCCTCGTCGTCCTCCTCCGCCGGATTAATTCCCCCATCGTCCACATGCCTGCCCTCCTCCCATCCTCTACGCCCTAGTGCATATCATGCCCCCTCCTTGTGCCCCCCCGCCTCCCTCGTCCTCGCGATGCTGACACCGATGATGCAGCTCCTCCTGGGCCCGTTTCCTCCCCTCTCGTCCATTCAGGTTCATCCCTGGCCCCTTTGGCCACCCCTCCTATCGAACCCCTTCCTCCCCACAGCCCACCATCCCCACCCCCCCCGCGCCTTTGCATGCCCAGACCACTGTCCCCTCCTGGACCAGCTGGGAGACCCGCGGGAACTCCCGCCCAGTGACCACTCCACCGAGCGGCGCGCGACAAATGCACCGTTGGAGACACGAACTGTGTATTTCGACCGCGTGCGACGCCCCCCCTGGACCAGCCGAAAAAGAAACGTGAAACTCCCCGCCCAATCACCACTACCCGCAAGGCGCACACTCCAAATACACCGATGGGATCGAGATCTGTGTACACAGATGACACCACGATCTGTGTAAACAGTGGGCCCACACGCGAAACTACACAGTTGAAGACACAAACTGTGTACACAGATCACACGTTGATCTGTGTATTTCGGAAAGGTGAACGCTCGCCACCTCGAGGGTGCCCCGACTTTGCCAACCCAGAACCGAAATCGACATGCCCAGCTCGGGGGGATGCGAATACACACCTCCCCGGCCCAAGGCGCCCCCGAGGGAGCTGCAAATACACGCTTCCGTGGGCCAGGGCGGCCGCGGTGAAACGCGGCACCAAAGCGGCCCCCAACGGCCCGAAGACGCCCCGAAAAGGCCTCGAATGACCCCAAAGAGTGCCGCGCAGCAGCCCGAAAACACGAGAGGTGTCACATGGCATGGGCCTCTCAACAGTCAAAGCTCCACGCGTCGCCATACAGACCGCTGCTCTGGTGAAGGGGCGGACCTTGCCGCAGGCACCTATAAGGTGCATGTTACCGATGCGACTGTGCTCGGCGGCCGTGCCGCCCGCGCTTGGAGTGCGCCCCGAACGCTCGGGTTGTCAATCGCCTCTGTTTGGTTGCTCCGCTGTGCTCGGATATAGAAAGTGCGATATACCGCTGATGCGGGCACGCGGCACCAGGGACTCCACTTTTCGAACATGGATGGAAGACGAGCTAAGACGACGGACGGTGGAGCAGGGAAGCAAACAGGAACGAGGAATAATGAGGGAGGTGGGAAGGGGCGCTCCCCCGCCCGAGCCGCGGACGCGGCTCGGGCGGGGGAAAGGAAGGGGAAAGGAGCAAGGGCGAGGACGACGACGGGAAGCAAACTGTTCTGGGTCCGCATATAGCCATATGCTTGCGATTCGGGTGCGCGCGCTTTTTTCGAGGCGCTTCAAGACCGACCCATACTGAATTCACTAATTCCTCCAAACTGTGTAAGCACTCTGTTCTCTGTTCCCCCTCCTATACAACTGCCTCAGACCAGAGGGGCAGTGGATTCCAAGTCCCAGTAGCGGGGATCCGTAAGTGGCAGGCCCTAAGATACTGCCAAAACAGCCCCAAGAGATCCCAGGATAACCACCAGGTTGCCCCGGGTAGGTCAACACAGCCCCCAAGTGGTCCCAAGAAGCCCCTGAGAGGCTCTTAGGAAACCCCCAGAAGCCTCGCGGAGACTCCCAGGAGTCCCCAAAGATGCTCCGACAGCCTTTTGGAGGGGGCTCGTCATCAATTAAACGTTTATGATTTCCACGAGTACTGCCTCCTTGAGTTCTGGGGCGTCGAAGGTGAATCTTGGGCGGGGGCCTGTTCCGTTCAGCGGTGCCCTAAATATGCATAGCGGCTGCTAGTCGCCCACGTGATCTTCACACAATCGCTTGGCAAAGGTACCAAACAACGCATGCCCAACCACCACGACGAAACGGGGAGATGACAACGGGGATGCAAGATGGTCTGGCGGAATGTGCGAACGGTTGGGTAAGTCAAAAGTGGAACGGGCACAGCGGGCCCTGGTGAAAACATATCATAAATGAATCAGACTTATCAGATTTACAGTGCTGCACCAACGCAAACAGCATGTGCATGCACAGACTAGGCTCGCCAAGGGCACTGGTAAAGGGCAAAGCTCCTGCTCACGTGTGTGAAACACTCAGACAAGCAAAAACGGCGACCACCTGCCTCTGGATCGCAGGGGGGACAGCGCTGCGAATGACAAGGGAAGGGCGCGAGAGGACACGGAGGGCGAGGAAGACAAATCAAGAGGGGGAAAGATAGAGAGAGAAACAAGGATCAACACAAAGCAACCACTACCCTCAACAACAGAGGGAGAGAGAGACACAGGGCAACAGAGACAATGAGAGAGAGGGAGAGGGACAGCTATCAAACTTATATGTGTAAATATATATATATGTATAGAGAGAGAGAGAGAGAGACAACAAAGCACAACGATAGAGAGAGAAGGTTAGAGAGAGAGAGAGAGCAATAGAGAAATATACATAGAAATACGGATCAAGAAACAAGATAGAAATCAAGCGAGAAAGAGAGAGAGAGAGAGAAAGAGAGAGGCATAATCAAAAATGACGGAGAACACACAGAGATCAACCTGAAAGGAGCGCGCGCCCGCATCTCATCCACCCGAGCCTGCTGGCTCGGAGCGGGACGCCGACGTGCGCGCTCTCGCGCTCCCCCCTCCCCTCCCTGCGTATCTCCCCCCCGCCCCCACACCTGCCTCGGCTGCGCCCGGGTAAGAGGTTCCCTCCCCAGACATGCGGCGTCCTGATTTTTTCAGCACGGCGACCCTGGAAGTCCTGGCCCTTTCCCCGGGAGCGGCTTCTCGTCCGGAGAGTCGCTCTCTGACGGCCCTCGCGAGGCCCGGCAGAAGGGCCCCCCGCCCGGTGCCGAACAACTGGCCCCAAACCCTCACGTCATGGATTTGTTGGCTTCGCCGCGAGCACGTCCGGGTCCTCGCATCCCCTCCCCCCCCCGCGCGGCCTCGCTCGAGGGGGAGCGAGCACGTCTAGGTCCTCTCATCCCCCCCCCCCCGCGCGGCCCCGCTCGAGGGGGGGGGGGGCGGGGCGAGGAGGTCCACCGCCGCGCGCCCCGCGGCGGGGGTCGCGCGCCGCGGCGCCGCTCGACGCCCGGGGCGCCGAGGCCTCCCCTCGCAGCCGCGCCGCGCGCCGGCCCGCGGCGTAGGCGTATTGGGGCGCGCGGGGCGCGGCGGCGGCGCGGCGCCGCGCCGCACCCTCCAAGGGCCTCGCTGCGCGACCCTCGCGCGGGGGCGGCAGCGTTCACCCGGCCGCTCCGGAAGGAGAGCGGAAGACACCTGATCGTGCTGCGCCCAGAAGAGGAAGGCGCAGCCTGCCTTACGCGTCGCTTGGAAGGCGGGCGAGCTCAGCATCGCTTGCCCCGTCGTTCGGCCGGCGCTCTCTTGAGCGCTCTGGCCATTAGTCGCTCGCTGCCTGAACTGCGAGCTGCCTGAACATAGTCGGTAGCGGCGCTCCCTCTGGGGGGAGAGAGAGAGAGAGAGAGGGAAGGAGAGGGAGAGAGACAGAGAGAAATATTGAGATAATAACGAGCAACAGAGCAACGGGCCAGGGCGTGCTAAGATCTCCGGTAACTGGTTAACAGTATTAACAGTATTTCTAGTTCGCGCGCGCGGGGCGGCCCCTGGGGGTCCCCCGGCGAAAAGTACCCCGACCAACGCCCGCCCGACCGCCGCCCGACCAAGTCTACTCAGAGATGGTTTTCCTTCTGGGTGCGGCCTCTCAGGCTCCCCAGAGCGCGCTCAGAGTGCCCACAAGAGGCCCCCAAGACTGCCCAACAGACCCCCGAGACGCCCAAAGAGCGCTCGAAGACGCCGAAGATGACCCCAAGACGGCCCAAAAGGCCCCCAAGACAGCCCAAGAGGCCTCCAAGACGCCCCAAGAGCCTTCCAAGAGGCCTCCGAAGAGAGCCCCAAGAGGCCAAAATCGTTGATTTTCATTAGTTTTTTCGATGTTTTTTGTGTTCTGGCTTTTTCGGCTTCCGGACGCTCCAAGACGGCCCAAGAGGCCCCCAAGACCGCTCCAAGACGGCCCACGAAGCTCCCAAGACGGCGCCGAAACGACCCAAGAGAGCCCTCAAGACGGCCCAAGTGCCGCCCAAGACGGACCAAGAGGCCCCAAGACGGGCCCAAGAGGGACTCAGGAGGGATACCGAGAACTCAAAAATGGAGCCCTCCGTCCCAGAAGGCGCCCAGGAGGTCCCAAAGAGGCCCCAAGAGGCCTCCAAGAGGCCCCAAGATGTCGCCAAGAGGCCCCAGGAGACTCCCAGGAGGCCCAAAAGAAGCCCCAGAAGGCTTCAAACATGTCTCCCAGGCGCCCCCGAACGGCCTCTCAACAGACCCCAAGAGGCCCCCCAAAGAAGCATCTTGACGACGACTCTATTTCGCCCCATCGAGAGACGACCCCCAGGGAACTGCTTCACCATCAAAACTCCCCACGCAACGCGTCCGAACGACACCCGCCCCCAAGAGCGCAACATGGGCAACGAACACACAGACAAAAACCAGCGATGCCATATCACGGGCCGGCGGAATGAGCGAAGCGATTCAATAACGAGCAACAGAGAGAGAGAGAGAGAAAGCGAGAGAGAGAGAGAGAGGAAGAGAGAGAGAGAGAGAAAGCGGCAGAGGGATATGTAGTTATTAAATGACAGATGTGTGTACATGCACCTGCTGGTGTAAGAGATAGAGAGAGAGAGAGAGAAAGAGAGAGAGAGAGAGAAACAAAAAAAATAAGAGGAAGAGAGAGAGAGAGAAACCATAATTGCAACGAGAGGGAGAGAGAACCGTGTGAAGAGAGAGAGAGAGAGAGGGAGGCATACTTTCAGGCGGACAGGACAAGACACGAAGCCGCAGGATATAACTACGGCAACATGAAGTCATGGCCCATGTAGGGCATGACATACAGGTAGTAGACGAGCAGACCAGCACACACACTCACACTCACGCTCACGCACTCACACACTTGTTCGGTTGCCGCGGGGTGGGCATGGCCGCTGGCCGTCTGGAAGTCCCGCAGGCGTGCGCGCCAGCTAGGGAAAGGAAGGGACGCGGGCGCGGCGTCGGGAACGTCGTCGAGCGTGGCATCGGAGAGCGCGTCGGGGTGGGAATGCAGGCGAGGGGGGGGGGTGTCCAGCGCCGTGGCCGTCGTCCAAGGGCGGAGTCGGAGGACGCGTCAGAGGAAGAGCGTCGGCACAGGGCCGGGAAGGCGTCGCGGTCGCCGTCGAGGGCGGTGCCCCCGAGGCGGCGTCGGAGTAGGAGAGCCGGCCAGGGGTTGGCCTGGCGTCAGGGTCGTCGTCGAGGGGCGGGGCCGTGGGCCCAAGGACGGCACGGCGAGAGGGCGGTCGTGCGCGGCTTCGGAGGGAGCGTCGGGATGGGGACGCCGACCCGGCAGAGGCCTGGCGGCGCGGGCGACGGTGACTGGCGGAGGCGGCGGCGTCGGCGTGGAGGAGCAGTCGGGTGTCGGCCCGTGGACTGGGGACACCACAAAGGTACCCACACCGCTACGCCATGGACATCTCCCAGGGTGCGTTCTGACCAGGACTTCGAAGCGAATCCAGCGGTGGCGACGAGGGCCTCCAGGGAGGCCCAAAAAGGCGAAAACGAGGCGAGGGTAGTGGTGTGATGGGTACCTCTCCCTCCTCTGATGGCTGGCCCGGCGCCGTGGCCGTCGCCGAGGGCGGAGCCGGACGCCGCGTCGAAGGGGGGCGGCGTCGAGAACGCCGCCAGGCCCGGCGCCAGAGGCAGCGTAGGAGGCGGTGGTGCTCGGGCGCAGGGCGCAGGCCGTTGGACAAGCGCCACTGGGCGGGTGGCGCGCGGGGGCGAGGGCGCTGGCCCAAGGAGGGCACGCCGCGGGCAAGGCGTTCGCCGCAAGGCCTGGGCCAGCGTCCTCCTCCGCGGGCCCGTGCACGTGCTTCCCAGGGTAGTCCTTCGCAAGCGTGCCTGGGGCAGCGTCCTCCCCCGCCGGTCCTCCACGGGCTCACGTGGTTCTCCAGGTGCTCTGGGTGCGTTTCCAGGGCTGCCTCCGGCGTCGGGTCGCCGAGCAGCGCGAGGGTAGCGGTGGCCGGCGCGGGCGTGGGCGGGGGGCCGCCGCAGCCGCCAGGCGCGGCAGCGCCGGCGCTGGGGGAGTCGGTGAGGGGAGAGCGGGAGCCAGTCCCAACGACTCCCGAGCCAGGGGGGAGGGCCGCAACCCGCGTGTAGAACGCCGCAGCGTGGCGACGGGAAGGCCACCCTCGCGCCAGACGGGGAGAGGGCGCAGGTCGGGGTCCCCCGGGGGGGGGGGGGCGGCGAATCCGGGGGGGCGGAGCCCCCAGACAGGGAAGCACGCGCGCCTGCAGAGGCGCCAGGGGGGAGGGCCGGCAGCGACGGTGGGCCCTGGCAGCCCGCTCAGGGGACAGCAAGACACCGGAGGCCCCCACCACGGTACGGACGGAACCCGAGAGGCCCCATGGCTAAGAGGGTCCTGGCGGCGGCCGGCGCCGTCCAAGGCTCGGGGCGCTGGGGCCACAGGTGCCCAGGGGAGGCGCCAGAGCCCAGGGGGCCCGAGGCAGCAGCAGCAGCGCCGTGGACGGCAGCTGCAGCTGGGCGCCGAGGCCGAAACCCGGGGGGCCGAGAGGGGCTTAAGCTGGCCGAGGCGGGGGCCGGGCCCGCGCCGCCCGCGGGGAGGCCTACAGGGGCCCCCATGGGGGCCGGCGCAGCGCCCCGTGCGGGGGGGGGGGGGCCGCCTGACGTACCCGCGAGCTGGCAGCATCGCCGGGGTGGCTGAGAATGTGGGCGGGCCCTCCCAGGGTGCTGGGCCGATGTTGCACCGCCACTGCCAGGAGGCAGGACGGGGGAGAAAGAGAGATGGGGAGGTCCTCCTCCTCCTCCTCCTCCCCCTCCTCCTCCTCCTCCTCCTCCTCCTCCTCCTCCTCCTCCTCCTCCCTCTCCTCCCTGTGGTAGTGATGGTGGAAAGTCGGCCTATCCCAAACGGTTGACCTCGCCTGGGGCCTGGGGTAGAAGAAGGAGGAAGTCGCCGACGGCCAGGTCCACCGCGAGGGCGGAACCGCCATCAAGGACCCTGCGGCGGCGCGAGCCCGCCAGAGCATCGCTGGGTGGTTGGAAAACTTGGGCGGGCCCTCCCGAAGGGCTGACCACGCCCAGGGCCGGAGGAGTGGTGGCGCCAGGGACATCAGGCTCCGCGTCGAGCAAGGAGCCCTCTCGGCCGCCAAAAGGGAAACACTCGTGCCTCCAGAGGCGCCGGGGGAGTGGCCTTATGTCGGGCGTGTCCTCCTACAGGCGGATCTTGGACGAAAAGTAAAAACATGTCAAACCGTATTCAAAACTTGTCAAAAAACCTTTCCTGACATGAACGGGAAGCGCGTGACAGGACAGAGCTGCGCAAAGAACGTGCAGCATCATCCCGATAACATGTAATGTAGGCGAGCTCTCCGAACGTCCACAGGGGATACCTACGGACACGCGCTCCCCGAACGTCCACAAGGAGAGTCCTGATGATCCTCCTCACTTCTCTGTACGCCTCCAATGTCGTCCGTCTATCCCTCACTTATCTGATGTGTTCGAAGGCCCGTCTTAAGGCACACACAAACACACACGCACACCCACACACACACACAGCAGGAAGAGGCTCTGGTACGTTTTAGAAGACCTCCTCAAAAGCATTTGCAAGGGGGATGTCTCGAGCGAAACGCTTACTTATCTGATGTGTTCGAGTAGGAGGGGGCGAAGGAGATGGAGGAACGTGAGGAGCAGACGGCCCTCACGACTGCCCAACAGAGCCTCACAATACGATCATATACAAGAACTTAATATAGAGGAAGTATCATATACAAGGACCATCGTACACGAGGAAGATCATGTACAACGAAGGCCATATTCAAACAAGATCATATACAATTAAGGGGCCGCCCACCCGCCGTCTCGCATATAGGCGACTGCACCGCCCCTACTTCCTGGGGTCCCGGGGCGGCCATAGCGTATCTCTGAGATTGTCCAGGGCTTTAATGACGGCCCAGGAAGCCCACCCAGGCCACCAAGATAGCCCAGAATCGCTCCAAGGCGGCCCAAGATGGCCTCCAGACGGCCCAAAAGGCCTCCAACACGCCCCAAGAGGCCTCCAAGAGCCCTGCCAAGAGACATCATATACAAGCTATGTCATAGACAAGGGCGATCATATACAAGAACTCAATATAGAGGGAATATCATATTCAAGGACCACCAGTATCATATACAAGGACCAAGTATCATATACCAGGTTATCCAAGAACACCCCGAAAATATGTCTCATAGCAGCTCATTCGACATCCCATTTTTCCGAGGATGTCTCAGGCGAAACGGCCGTTTTTGAAGTTCCGAAAATTAGGCCGGCGATTTCAATATCCCGATTTGTTGAGGATGTCTCAGGCGAAACGCTCATTTAACATAAGACGTCTTAAGACACGACCCCCAACTTCACGATTTGGCGAGGACGTCTCAGGCGAAACGCTCGTTTTGGGAATCCGCCAGGCTCTGAATCACGAGGCGGCCCCGCACGTTCCCCCATCCAGACCTCCCCCAGTTGATGAATAAATCCCTCTGGGCAAACAAATGTCCATCGCGCGACTCTTCGAGTCTTGGCGCGCTTCCCGTCATCCGCCGGCCCCCTTGTGGGGCCACCAGGCTGTAGGCATAAGGTTCGCAGTTTCCTGTACCAGTTGCAGCTTCCAGTTTCCACTGTTACAGTTCTGTTTCTTGCTGCTTACTGTTCCTTGTTGACATCTTGCTGCTTACTGTTTATTGTTGATGGACCGCGCGAGGGGGGGAGGCCCCAAAAGGGCATTTTTACCGCGCCCTGAGCGTGTTGTCTGAATTGCTGGGGTGGGTTAGAATTGACACCTCTCACGCAGATCGGCGGGGTCAGGGTCCAAAAACACATGGGATTTGCCACATGTCTGAAATGTGCTGGCATCCCTCACGCAGATCGGCAGGGTCAGGGTCCAAAAACACATGGGATTTGCCTGAAATTTGCTGGCACCTCTCATGCAGATCGGCGGGGTCAGGGTCCAAAAACACATGGGATTTGCCGCATGTCTGAAATGTGCTGGCACCCCTCACGCAGATCGGCAGGGTCAGGGTCCAAAAACACATGGGATGTGCCACATTTCTGAAATTCGGTGGCACCCCTCACGCAGATCGGCAGAGGTTCAAAAACACAGGGGATTTGCCACATTTCTGAAATTCGGCGGCACCCCTCACGCAGATCCGCAGGGTCAGGGTCCAAAAAACATGGGACTTGCCACATTTATTCGGCGGCACCCCTCACGCAGATCCGTAGGGTCAGGGTCCAAAAACACAGAAGATTTGCCACACTTCTGAAATTCGGCGGCACCCCTCACGCAGATCCGTGGAGTCAGGGTCGAAAAACAAACAGGTCCCGACACTGCTTCACGGCGGCGCCCAGACCTCATGATTTAGCTTTTGCATCTCCCATTATCAGAGACAGGGGGCCGGCGGCATTGGGCGCCCTTACGGATACGCAGGAAATCGTCCCCAGTCTATTTTTTCTCATCTTCAGTCTTCCCACAAATACTCTGAAAATCGTCCCCTGACTATTGTTTGATATTTTTCAAGATTCCCCCGGTAGAGGGACATGCCCGACACAAGGGTGGCCGCTAGCGGCGAAAGACGATCATCGGTTGGGAGGAAGGGGCTGGGAAGATGCAGGGCGCGGCTGTGCGTCACCAGGGAGATACAAGGAAGCCCATGCAACATACGCGCTAGCACTGATGTTATAGTCTTTTCTCCCAACCCCATCCTCCCACCCCGATCATTATCTTTCTAAGAAGGGGGTAAGAAAGACATTCATCAATTGGAAGGAAGGGGCTGGAAAGAT